TCAGACTCTTTCATCAGAATGTACCTCCCCCCACTTTTTTACAAGTATTTTTCCCTTGTCAACATAAGAAACATCCAAACCTGTAGAGAATTTTTATGAATTTATTTGAGCCAAACTGACAGCAGTTGCCAGGAAGGAAAATCTTGACAGACTGAGAAAATACTCTGGAGAATGGCAGTTTTGCCATTTATTTTAATCATTATAATGAAAAGAGGACACGTAAGGAGGGTTACAAGAAATCTATTAGTAGTAGATTAAGGAAGTGGGAGAAAACAAAGAGGAAACATCTCTGGGACTGGATAAAAAGCAAAATGGAGAAGCACATACTTCTTTTTCACTGGTGGTTACAGATCGTAAACATTTACAGCACATAGAGATGATATTCAGGCAACAAGATAACAATGAAGGGTTCTGTAGTCTGGAGCTCTGGTGCCAACGGTTGTGACATGAAGGGTTTGGAAAAGAAGATGACTCTGACATTTCAAAGTTATGTTGCAAAAAGACAATAGGCTCAATTAAGATAAAGATTGGCCTTTGTCAAGGAAGCTACAGGCCTAGGTAGTGACTACCCGCCACGACTGGCTTTTAGTAGAAATTTTTATGTTCAGACCATCCTGTGTGGTTACTTTCAGTTTCTGGATTTGTAAAGCCTGCCATGCAGGCTTCCCCTGCTTAGTTATGTGGCCTTTTTCATCTATACCCTTATCTCCTCCCTGAGACCTCAAAAGCTGTAATATATGTTGCATATGTGCTTTGACCCATGTGAAATGTCAGTTACGCAGGTGGAAGCATAGAGGCACATCCCTCAGATATCCCTTCAAGATAGAATCTGCCACGAAGAGTGCAGTTAGCAGACAGCCTCCAGCTGTAGCATTACATGCTCTTATGAGAATGTAATGCTTGTTATGAGGTGGAGCTGAGTCAGCGATGCTAGCGCTGGAGAATGGCTGCAAATACAGATGAAGCTTCATTTATTTGCATGTCCTCTGCTCACCTTCTGCTGTGCAGCCCATTTCCTAACAGGCCACGGATTGGTTCTGGTTCATGGCTAAGAGGTTGAGGACTCCTGGTCTACAGCATCTTAGCTAAGGCTACACTTTCCCCTTGTCAATGACTAAGTATGACAGCTGTTCAAGCCATTTCTGCCCAATACATAGTTCTCCTAACTTGAAAGATCTCCGTGGGAGATTTTTTTGCACCACAGCTCTCCCTTGTGTGGGCTGAGATTTCCCGGAGTTGCACTGCAGTCTTAGCCTCTTCAGAATGAATTTCAAATGTGCATTGTCATCTGAAGGCTTCCCCTACCTGCTCCCCCAGTCTATTGTGTGTGTGTAGTCCAATAAAACTTTATTTATAGACACTAAAATTTGAATTTTGTGTAATTTTTATGTGCCGCAAAATATTGCTTTAATTTTTGTAAAAACCTTTTTATTTTAGAACAATTTTAGGCAGTACAGAGAATTCTCATATACCCTCACCCACTTTCCCCTATTATTAATATCTTGCAGTAAATTTGTCATAATTAATGAACCAATATTGATACATTGTCATTAACTAAAGTCCACATTTTATTCAGATTTTCTTAGTTTTCACCTAATGCCCTTTTCATGTTCCAGGATCCCATTCAGGATATCACATTATATTTAGTAGTCATGCTTCTAAGCTTAGACTCCTCTTGGTTGTGATGGTTTCTCGGGTTTCCCTTATTGTTGTTCACCTTGACAATTTTTAAGGAGTACTGGTCAGTATTTTATAAAATGTCCCTTAATTGGGATTTGTCTGATGTTTTTCTCATGATTAGACTGGGATTATATGTTCTTGGGAAGAAGCCTACAGAAGTAAAATGCCATTTTCATAACATCATATCAAGGATGCATGATATTACCATGGCCTACCAATATTGATATTGACCTTGGTCACCTGGCTGAGGTAGTGTTTGTTAGGTTTCTCCACTGGAAAGTGACTCTCCCCACCCCCTTCCCATACTGTATTCTTTGATACCTCAATTTTTACAGGATCCAAACTGGCACAATGGGTTTCAGTAGCTGTTCAAGGAAGCAAGTGGTAAGAAATCATGACCCGTTGCTTAGTGACCAGAACTGAGCCAGTTATCAGACCTGGAAAGCACTGTCTGAATAGGCAGGTGGCTAAGTTCCCAGGAGAATGCCACTAGTATGCGCTTTGAAGATTCCCCTCGCACTTCGCAAAAGGGACCCACGGACATTTACTTGAGTGAATGTATACTTGAGAATAAGGTTATCCACACAATTGGAGAATTATTGGGCAAAGGATCTGAATCGATGTTGAACCAAAGCTTCATCATGGGATCAAATCCCGGCAGGGCCAGAGGGCATGAATAAGCTACATGAGCAGACAGCCTAGATTTCCATTTTACCGATCACAGTTATACCAGCACCCCTCTCTCAGCTCACACCTATCACCACATTGAGGGGGTTCCTGTGCCTCTAGATAAAGATAATGGAAAAATGTCAAATCGTAGTTTATCGATTGGTTGGCTTTATGTGGGGGTGCAAGCTAAAAATGGACAATAGCTACATTACAGACATACTCAAGGGTGGCCTTGAAAGACAGTAGTGAGGGCAAATATTCAGTGTGGAGCTCTGAGTGGTACACCTGGTTATCCATTTTATATGGAAGCATAAGAAGCTTGAGATGATAATCAATATGGACACATGGACAGTAGCAAATACCTGGCCAAAGTTTAGGAGTTTAGAAGGGAAAGGACTGAAAGACCAGAAATAGGAGGGTATGGGGCAGAGGCACATGAACAGAGATGTGGGAACGAGAATAGTGTGTGAAAACTTTTTATAGGTTAATACCCACTAGAAGCATTGAACCAAGTGGACAAAATGACTCATTCATTGACATTAACTGGCTTTTGCCCTTTATTCACCCAAAAGTAGCATGATAGGTAGATGGAATTCACGAATACCACACATAGGTCCATTTGCATGGACTTTTAGTTATCAGTGCTGATCTAGGTACCCGTGTGTGTACAATCTACCAACAGTGGAGATGAATGCTGAGTCCCTGACATGGCACTATTGTTTAAGGAGACAAACTGGCACTTGGTAGCAAGTTGACAACACTGGGTTCCTTCTATCCTGGAAAAGCCAGTGGTTTGTTCTCTATGGAATAGATGCCCATTCTAACATTTTTTTCTGGGTATAGATTTGCTTTTCTGCCCTGAAAGTCTTAGCCAACACCACCATGTGTAAATTTCATGAGTGCCTGATCCACAAGAATAGACCACCACACAAGCTAGCGTCCCGTCAGAGGTCTCATTTCGTGATAAATGAGACCTCTCATTTCGTGATAAATGAGAGTTTCAGAAGGGGAGCCTGGACTGTGGAATCCACTGGTTGTACTATACACATTACACAGTGTAGAAACATCTGGCCTGATATAGCATTGGGATGATCTTTTGAAGGAATAGCTAACATGCCAATTTAGAAGCGATACTTTGTAAGGATATATAGCCATAGGAAGACTACATGGGACCAGGAACCAAGAGGTAGGAACTGGAGTGGCTTAAACACCATCACTCAAAAATGACCCATTGGATAATTTTGTGTTCTGCAAGCTTTGTGGTCCTGTTCTCCAAAATTGGCACATTCTTGCCAGGAGACATGGCAAGGGTTCTTTTAACCTGTAAGTTATAGCTGTATAGTTTTATTTTCTACACTGGTTAGTGTTAAGTGGGACAGACTAGTCACCATTGCTCCACTGTCCCACCTGGAATGAGTCAGAAAGTTAGTGGTTATGATTTTCTCTAATGATGAGATCTATCAAATCTGTTTAATAAGGGAAAATATCATTAATACTCCTCAGATATTACATATTTTTAAAGGTCTTGTCTAATATTGCCCATAATCACATTTCTTTCACTCAGGTGGTACTCTGAATTTGCTTTGTTTTCAAGAGCTCTTGAAAACAAACAAACACACACAAAAAACATAAACTATCAAATGTGAGAGAATAGTTCAGGGCTTTTTTGTATAATTCTCATCTTTCTCCATTTAAGAACAGGTTTTTAATATAATAGAGTTAATAAACAGAGTTTATACCATTCGATGTATTTCATTATGTTAGGTATTTTCATTCAGTTTATTATTAGTATTATAAGTGATAAGTAGTTAATTTATATTACTATATTTTTTGAATAACTACAAGTAAATAATTATTTTTAAAAATTTATTTTATCACATAAATTCAAAAGTAGTCAGATTGCTCAATCACAAGTAAACTTTTGACATTTATTAGCCCTTAGTGGTAACAAATTATATAGCCTTATAAAGAATTGCAGTAAGGCTTTAACGAAATATTGAACATAAAGTAGAAATAATAAATTTGTCTCCTAAAAGCATGCACAAGTACCACTTAAACCATTCCAAACATATATACTATAGTGATAAATAATAGTATCTGATGCTTTGATATCATATGAAAAATATCACTACCACCACGAGCACCACTAGCAATGGCAACTATAATGGTAATGACAAAACAACAAAACCAAAAGTTATTAAGTGACTGTCCTGAATTTGAAATGGTCCTAAGCACTTTACAGGTATGATCTTAATACTTGAGAAACTTGTTAACCCATTTTAAAAATATTTAGAACACAGAGATAGAAACATATTTAGAAAATGGCAATTTCCTTCTTTATCAGGATAACATAGTGAAACCTTAGTGTTATAGACTGTCAAATCCTTTTTAGTGTTTCTATCACCACACCGTTATCTGTTCTTAGTGTCCGAGAGCTTTCCTTACTTACAGTACTTACTGTAAAATACATGTTTTTTGTTGTTGTTTCTTTATTTTTCAAATTTAAGTTTGTTGAGCAGTATGAAAAAGAGAAGGGAATAAAAGGTACTGAAATATTAGTTTGTACATATTCTTTCTTAAAGCTCAATGTTCTTTTTATAAGTTTTTTGCCTTTTTTTGTATTATCCTTTTGTCCTGTGATGGTGGCTACCTCACCCTTTGTCCTCCTCTGCCTTTTCCTCCTCCTCCTCCTCCTCCTCCTCTTCTTCCTCCTCCTCTTCCGCCTCCTCCTCCTCTTCTTCCTCCTCCTCAAACCTCCTTCTCCTCCTCCTCCTCCTCCTCCTCCTTCCCCTCTTTTCTGTCCTTTTTGTCCTCCTTCTCTATCTTTTCCTCCAACTTTTCATGCTCTGGCCTCATTACCTCAGGGGTAAACTGCATCTGTTCTTCCAATAATATATTTGGAAAATAAGACTGTATTATCAAAACAACTGTGGCACATAGTGAAAAAAATAGTGTTCTCAAAAATAAAATAAACATGCAGAGTGGATCACACACAAGTGGCCGGGGCACTTCCCATCTTGGATACCAAAATCGATAATCTGCAAATAAAGGAGCAATTGAAAGCTGGATTTCATATAAAGTAGTTAAAGCATTCAAGAAATAGAAGACAACAATACATACATATGGCTTGGTCACGACCTGCATTACCTAGAAAGAAAAAAGAAAGACATAAAGAATTACATAAAATTTCTTCTTTCTGTAGAATGACAATTTCCCCAACAATAATGACATCATCCTCCTAGTTGTCAGGTATTAAGCGATCATTATTGATTTCTCCCCTCCAACAAACAGCTAGTCATTAAGTACAATATTTTCTCTTTTAGTAAAAGTTAGCCTGGTCTGCTAGAGAGAGAGCGCAGAAGTATAGGAGTGAGAAGATGTGAATTTTACTACTAATTCTGTCTAAATCAATTTGTCACCTTACTTAAGTCACTTCATGTCGACCCTCTAAAGATTGTTCTAATTTCAGCCTTCTAGGATTCTATAACATCTTTTATTTTCGTTTCTCTTCCCCCCACCTCAATCATTCCATATTAATCTTCTGAATCTACTCACTTTCCTCATTTAATTCTCATTTTCAGAAACTTTCAGTTGCTTATTTCCTAGCAGCAAAGTTAACTCCATAGCCTGGTCTTCATTGTTTTGCTATTTAGCCCAATGTTATCACAATACTTTTCAGGAAATAAATTTTCTTTCCTCTGCTCACCTGGGCATAGAAGGTCAGATGACCATTCCTGGATTCCACTAGGAAGGAGAGTGAGAGGATAAACGAGTTCTCACATATAGAGAGCCCAAATGGCAACCTAGGGCTTTGTCTTGCAACATTAATATTCTTAGAGGAAAATTTAGAAATCACTCTTGAGGCACCTTGGAGATGAACTGATCTTTTGAATCTTTAAGGTTATTTTAGCCTTTTGTGCTTGATCTTATTACTTCATTTTTTTTTCAATATAATGATTCCTATTTTAGAGCTCCTTTAAAAAAAGTCTTTTACTTCATTCTGTGTCTGTGTGTCTATTGATTGCTTAGTACGAGCAATGATGTACTTAGTATGTTTCTTCTTTGCATCTTCCTTCATTCCTTTTCACTAATTTTTATTGATTACATTCTTCTTTTACTTTCGTACTTGGTTAAATATTTAAATACATTAAACAAACATGTCTCTGATTCTTCAGCTTTAACTAATACCTTTTGGCCTCTGGCTCTAAAAGAAGGGGAAATTAAACAGATTTTTCTACCTTTCTCTTCTCCTCTGAAGTTTTATTAATTACATCATTTGCTTATTGCCAAAATTTATATTTATATTTTGTTTTATAATTATAATCTTCAGATTTGTTTTAATCTATCAATTAATTTAATCTATCCAATGTTTATGGATAGTTCTTTCAGCACAGCTTTTTGCTTTTCCATTCATCCATTCTTTTTAGTGAAAGTCATCCTCTAGGAGTTATTAAGGAAATGCACAGGAGAACTATATACCACAAGTTACTGTGTGTTCCTGTCTATTTGCTTATACTTGAATAATAAGTTTGGCTATACATAAATTCTTGGTTGACATTTTTTTGCATTAAGACCATATAGGCATCACTCTATTGTCTCTTAGCATTGACCATTATTGTAGAGAAGTTTGAGACCAGCCTGAACTTTCCTCTCTATTCACAGAAAAGTACTTAGTTCCTGGTTTTGGCTCTACAGTACAGAATTAACTTTACACGGTGTAGTAGTAATGATATTGGCAATTGACAATCCTGCATAGAGGACTAACATTCATGTCATCAGAGTCTCAAGGAGAAGAGAAATAGTGTAGTGTTGGAAAAAATATGTAAAGAAAAGGCTGAAGCTTCTCTAGTATAGATGAAGAATTAGATCTACAGAATCAAGAATCTAAGCTAAGACTGATTTATTTCACTTAGCATGATGCCCTCAAGGTCCATTCATGTTGTCACGAATGGCAAGATTTTCTTTTTTATAACTGAATAATTGTTTATGTATATTACAATCTTTTTTTCTTCCTTTTTTTTTGTATACTACAATTTCTTATCCATTCATTCATCGATAGACACTTAGGTTGTTTCCATATCTTGGCTATTGTGTATAATGCTGCAATGAGCGTGGGGGTCCATATATCTTTTCAAGTTATCGTTTTTGTTTTCTTCAGATAAATATTCACAGGCAGAATTGTGGGATCAAATGGTAGTTCTATTTTTAATTTCTTGGGGAACCTCCAAATGTTTACCATAGTGGCTGCACCAATTTACATTCCATACTATGCACTTCCAATGTTTAAAGAATTTCTATTTATGAAGTTTTTAATTATTTCTTACAATATCTAAATATCTATCTGTAGCTTATTTTCTTTTCTATTGTTTTGGTTCTGTTCAGGGCCTCCAATTATTCACATGTCGAATGTGATTTATCAGTGCATATTTAACATTTTCTCTTTAATCTTTTTAAATTCCTTGCCTGCATTTCTCAGTCATGACCTCCATATCCTTTATGTGTTTTCCAGCATTTTTTTGTTTCTTGTGCTATTTTCAATGTGCTCTTCACTTCTATAATGGCTTTATTTTTTTCTTTCAGTTTCTTATTGTTGTATTGCCATATCTTCTTTGAGCTTTGTGTCTTCCCTTTGATCTCTTGTTTTGTTTTTAAAGTATTTTGAAGATGATATATTTGCTCTCATTTTCTAATGGTTCCATGGCAATATAACAATATTTTTTGTCATTTTTTTATTGGAGGTTTTTGGGTTTTTTTTTTTTTGGTATGGCTCATGTACTCATCGGAATGGATAAAAAACATGACCCAACTACATGCTGTCTATAAGAAATATAGGTAGTTTAATAATAAACATAAACAAACAGAAAGATGAAGTGGCTATATTTACACTTCAGTGTAAACAAAATTGCCAGGGATAAAGAGGGACATTATTTATTGATAAAATGGTCAATTCACCAGGATAAAGTATAATAATTCTAACTGTATGTGCACCTAACCACAGAGTTTCAACATACATGAAGAAAAACTGACAGAACTGAAATGGAAAATAGAAAAATCTACAATTATAGCTAGAAACTCAACATCCTTCTCTCAAAAATTGATAGAACTAGACAAAACAAACAAAAACAAAAACAAAACCATCATGGATATAGAAAAACAACAGCATCAACCAACAGAATCTAATAAACATTTGTAGAACATTATATCCAATGATAGCAGAATCACATTCCTTTAAAGTACTCATGAAACATATACTAAGGTAGAACTTATCTTAGATCCAAAACAAACCTTAAAAAATTTAAAAGAACTGAAATCCATTACAGTATGTTTGAATTTAAACTAGAAATCAATAACCAAGAGATAACAAAAAAAAATTAAAACACCATTTACAAAAGCTCCCCAAAATGAAACATTTAGAGGTAACTAATAAAACATGCACAGAATTTATATTTTGAAAACCACAGAACACTGATAAAAGAACTCAAAGAATACCCAAACAAATAGAGAAAAAAATTATGTTTATGGATTGGCATACTCAGTACAGTCAATTCCATTCTCCCCAAACTGATCAATAGGTTTAATGCAATTTCTATCAAAATCCCAGAAAGACTTTTGTAGACATAGACAAGCCTATTATAAAACTTACATGGAAAGTCCATGCACTAGAATAGCTAAAACAAAATATTTAAAAGAAGAATAAAGTAGGAGGAATCATTCTACCGGATATTAAGGACCTTTTATATAGCTACAGTAATCAAAACAATGTGGGCTTGGTTGAAGGATAGACACATAAATCAATGGAAGAGAATAGAGAACCCAGAAACAGATCCACACAAATACGCTCAAACTGATTTTTGACAACTGTGCAAAAGCTATTAAATAGCAAAGAGTCTTTTCCACAAATGATGAATATTTGGTTTTCCATGTGTAATCAATTAATCACAAAACTTTAGCATGAACTTTACATCTTATTCAAAAATTAAGTTAAAATAGATCATAGATCTAAATGTAAAACTACAAAACTTTTAGAAGAAACCATAGGAGAAAATCTTTGAACCCTGAGATTATGTGAAGAGTTCTTAGACATGATAACTAAAAGAACAGTCTGTAAAAGAAAAAAAATGGTATGTTGGATTTGATTAAAATTAAAAGCTTAGCTTCATGAAAGATACAGTTAAGAGAATGAAAAGACAAGCTACAAACTGTAAGAAAAAATATTTTCAAATCATGTCAATTAAAGGAATTATATTGTTGGGGAGGAAAAAAATATCCTCTACCCTTAGGTTCTTCTGGCTGGACTAATAATCAAATTAGCAGAAAAAAGAAAACAAATTAAAGTTTAATAATATGTGTAGCTCTTGTCAGCATGGGAGAGACCCAGGAAAACTGAGTAATTCCCCAAAATGACAGAAACCATCACCTTAAATACCACCTTCATCTAATGACAAAAGATGCTAGGGGTGGGCAGTCAGTTAATGGTCATTATCATGCAAAGCACAGAAAACAAGGTAAGATTGTTATGCAGATTTAAGCCTAAAGCCTTTTTTTTTCCATTGATAGTAAAAGCAAGCCTGCTACAGTGGGGAAACACCCTTACAGAGGGAGATTTCCCTTACAAATGTAAATATCCTTTCAGAGGTTAAACTCTACTTGATTTCCAGAGTTTCTCCCCTATCTGCTGTTTCTTAAAGTTAACCCACCTAAAATTATCAATATCCCAAAGTGGCATATTTTGGGGTCACAAACTCTGTTCTCCTTCAATATCTATAATATATAAAGAAATCACAAAATTAAAAATAAAATAAACAATCCACCTAAAAAATGGGCAAAAGATTTGAACAGACACTTCACCAAAGAGGATGTAATAGGACAAAGAGCATGTGAAAATATGTTCCACATCAGTAGCCATTAGGGAAATGAAAAATTAAAACTATAAAGAGATTAGAATAGCTACACTACACACTAACTACACACCAATTAGAATGGCTAAAGTAGAAAATACCGACAGTACCAAGTGCTTAAAAAAAAACAAAGTGACTAGAATTCCCATTCATTCCTGCAAAATGGTACAGTCACTCTGGAACCAATCTGGCATTTATCTATAATGTTCAATACATAGTTACCACATGATTCAGCAATCTCACTTCTGGATATTTATCCTAGAGAAATAAAAACATATCTACACTAAAACCGTTACACAAATATTTATAGCAGCTCTCTTCATAATTGCCAAAAACTTGAAACAACCCAAATGTCCTTCAATGAGTGAATGGATCAACAAACTGTGGTGCATGTATGTAATTGAATACTACTCAGCAAAGAAACAATGGACTATTAATATATACAATAACTTGGATGAATCTCAAAGGATCTTGCTGAGTGAAAGATGCCAGTCTTCAAAGGTTACGAACTGTATGATTCCATTTATTGACACTCTCAAAAAGACAAAACAGCTTGGAGGTTGCCAGAAATAGGGGCAGGAGGATTGTGAGACTATAAAGGGTACACAAGGGAATTGTTATTATTATTATTTTATTATTAATATTGGCATGATGGAATTGCTCTGTATCCTGATTGCAGTGGTGATAACTAGAATATATACATATGTTAAAATTCACAGAATTTTATATAAATAAAATTTAAAAATGATAGTTTGATCTTCGATAATATTTTTCTTATTTTAAATGCCTATCTTACTAGTTAGACTGTAAGTTCAATGAGGACAGGAAGTATGTCTATCTCTTTATCATTTCACCCCTACTGCATGATGCAATGTCTGGCACATAGTTACTACTAAATAAATATTTTCTGATCAGCTAAATGAAAGAGTCTTTATTGGAATTTTAATGAAAAATTTGGAGAAGCTTTGTTTGAACCTACTGGTACGATGCCACTTTAAACTGAAATTCCTCAACCAAGCTTCTTGACAGTGATATTACCCTAGATATTTTTACTTCTTCACTTTCCACTCACTTTCAATTCCTGAAATCCGGTTGTCACCCTACTATTCCTCTGAAACCCCTCTAAGGTCCCTAAAGATCTCCATGTTGCCAGCTCAGTGAGCACACTAGGGGAGACTTCTGTTTCTCTCCTACTGTTTCCCCCATTCTCTTTCAGTATTTTTCATTTTTTCCTCCCTAGGATTCCATTCTTAGTATTTACTATTCTTCTCTATAAGTTGTACTTCAGTGAGTTCTTTTTTATATTTTTAGTCTTATCAATATGCTAATGATTCTGAAATACAGCCCTGATCAGCTTACTAGTCTTACCTACTCAGTTTTTAAACAGCTGTTTAAAACTAATAATGATCAAAACTGAACTCATAATCTATTTTCCATTGCTTCTTCTGTTTGTACAATTCGTATCTCAATAAATCACACCATTAGTCACCAAACCTCAAACCTGATATTTATATTGGACTATTTTTCTCACCGCCATATCAAATTAGTCTTCAAAACTTGCTAATTTTGCTTCATAAATACTAATTAGTCTCATCCTATTTCTCTTACAAATACTCCAATAGGAGACTCTTCTCTCCCCTGGACTACAACAAAAACCTTCATCATCTGATACTTCATCATCCGGAGTATTTAGTATTTCCTACAAACAAGGATATTCTTCTATATGATCATAATATAGCCATCGAAATCAAAAATTAACATTGTTACATTACTACCATCTAATCTTTAGACCTCATTCAATTTTTGCCAATTGTGCTAATGGTGTCCTCTACAGCAAAAGAATCATGTTCAGGATTGTATATTACATGTAGCTTTCGTGTCTCTTTATTTTCTTCAGTCTGGGACAATTCTTCATTCCTTATTTGACATTCATAATCTCGACATTATTGAAGATAACAAGCCAGATATTTTGCAGACAAATCCTTATCTTTTCAAAACAAATCTGCAGTTTGGATTTATTTGATGCTTCCCTGGGATTAGGTTAGGTTACACATCTTTGGTAGGAATGCCACAGAAACGAAGCTTTGCTCTTCTCACTGCATCCTCTCAGGTGGTACGGGTTTTGGTTTTGATTTTCCCATTGCCGATGATGCTCACTTATATCACTTTATTAGGATGGTTTCTGCCAAGTTTCTCCACTGTGAAGTTAATCTTAGTAACTAATTACTAATTACCCTTAGTAATTAAGTATTTTTATTGGGAGTTATTTTGGAACTAAGTAAACATACTGTTCCTCACCAAATTTATTCATTTATTAATTTATATGAATTAATTTATTCATTTATTAATTTATATGAATATGAATTATAGTTTCCTGTTTTATCCAATGAGTTATAATTGATTATTATTATCCTTATTTCCATGCTCAAACTGTCTCAGATTTGACCAGTGAGAACCCTTTACGATGGCTTTTGTGTCCTTGTGTGTCCTTTTTGTTACATGTCCCATCACTCTTTGAGAATTTCCTTGCTTTCAGGTATAAAAAGATATTCTGGGTTGATCCTGCATTTTCCCTGCTCCGGCCCTGGAGTCCAACCTTTCTCCAATGAGTCTCAGTTCCTTTTAGTGCACTACAATTTAGAAACCAAGATTGTGCACTAGTTGTGCTCACTGCTTTTGGGGTGAAGGGCCCACTGCTTCAAGTCCACCTCAGAGCTAGGGAATATACATATGTATGTACATAAATATTTACATCTATGTTTATATTTATTAAAATCCTCAAGTTCTAATACCTCTAATTCTGATTTATCACAAGATTCATGCGTGTTTTCCTTCTTTACACTCCATTTGCACTCCATTCTCTGACAGTAAGAAAACTGGCTCCCATTATCCATAATCTATTTACTCATTTAATAAATCCCCCAGGATGCCTCCAATCTCCCATCACTGCCTCTGCTCTCTCCCCTACCTGGTCCCCTCCTCATTCTGCTTAGGCTTTGATACTCTACACCAGGCTGATAATGTCAGATTTAGCAAATAAAAACAGGATGCCCAGTTAAATTTGAATTTTAAAAACAACAGATACTTTTTTAGGGATATACTTTTACTAAAAACATTTTTCATTTATCTGAAATTCACATTTAACTGGGCATTCTGAATTTAATCTGGCAATCTATAATCTGATTCTTCAATTGGGCCCCTTCCACCCTGCTCAGACTCTGAAACCCAACTCTGGACTGCTCTAGTGTGTGATTTGCTCCTTACTGTAGAAGGGTTCTGACCCCTCCCATGCCAGGCCACCACCCCCACATCAAAGCCTTCCTCACCTACTTTGGACTCCAACACTCATGCGAGGTTGCCCCTAAACATGGATACCCTTCTACCTGCTTAGGTTTTAATACCTCTGGCAAGGCCACCCCTATGTGAATCTTCTCATTATGCTTGAGCTTCAACAACCGGTGTCATACCATCTTTCCATGGATGCCTTCCTCACCTGCTCCGACTCTTATACTCCATGCCAGGCCTCTCTCTCCAACCCCGTGATGACGCTCTCTTCACCTTGCTTGGCTCAAACACCACATACTGAATCACCCCTGCACGGACATTCCTTCATCCTGATCTGTCTCTGATACCTAAGCCTGACCTCATGTGTGGACACTGATTCATTCCATGAGGGCTCTAACTTCCCACATAAGACCAGATTCCCATGTGGACAGCATCCTCGTCCTGCTTAGGTTGTCTCCCCATGGCCACCGTCCTGTGTATGGATTCCTTGTCATCCTGCTTAGGCTCTAACATGTCACACCTGGCTGCCCTCTGTGTGGATTCCTATCTTGTTCTGACCAACCTAATGGCCTTAAGGACTGAATTTTTGAGAAAGAGAAAGAAAAGGGGAAGAAGAAGAGCAAGGCTTCATATCTTGATTCAAGTGAGCCAAGGGCAGAGGTGTTAGGGTGAATTCATTGTAGCAGTGGCACAAATGCATAATATGCCCCTTACTGTCGGAATTTATCCCTATCACATTCCACTAAGCATCACATATATTCCAAAGTTATACTTTTGAATAATATACTCTTACGTTCGATAAAAACTAAAAGTTTAATCAAACATATATTCTACTTTTATCTTTAGAATATTTTGGGGGAAAGAAACTAAAAAAAAAAAGTCTATTAAACATTTGTTAATGCACTTCTTTTCTCATTATAAATATGTTGGAATATTCTATTTTTTGGAGCAGTCATTCTCGAATTATTCTCGGGTTATTTCAGGAATTAACCATGAAGAATTTTCAAGGTATATATATGTATTAGTTCTCATTCCTTCTTTCAGTCATTCTGCTATATCCTTAGGAACAACCTTAGAGGTAAGAGAAGGAAGAAAAGGCTGTGTAGTTTAGAAAAATCTGAAGGCAGTAGTTTCAACCTTCCTTTGCTAATATAATAACCATTCTGATCAAAGGAACAATATTAACATGACAATGAAAAATCTAGTGGTTGGCACTTCATTTTTCTTGTGGTCCCTACACATTATGGATTTTTTTCATGTTAAAGTTATTTTCTTTATCTTACTGCATAGAAAATCTGTGCATCTGTCATATCTGCTACATTGACTACAAACTGCTCCTGGTTTATAAGGCCTTCTCGTCAGAGCTGCTCTACAAAAAAGCAGAAAACATTTAGTTAGAACAAGTCTCAAATATTATGTTATTTAAATAATATAGTTACTAATTTTTAGTTATAAAGGTGATTTAATTAAAGAAAAGGACTCAAGGAAATACTTAAATAGGAGATGCTATCTTCCCTTTCTTTTTTCTCCCAGAAAACAGTCTTTTCTGAAAGAAATTTCCATGTCATTGAAACAAAGTATTGTAATTTAAATATGAGTGAGTTTTAAAGCTTCTTTCATCTTACTTTGTAGTGAAATTTTCCTTTAAAATTGGATGTTATAGAATGTTTTATAATTAATTGCTTTCTGGTTGGCACGAATATATAAAAAGCTCTGTAGAAATAATATATTAATTTCTCAAGAGTTTATAAAATCTTGAAATGCCTATTGTTCCAAAGACCCAGCTGCATGAATTACTTTGAGGTCTACATGAGAAATACATAAATATATAAACAAGCAAATAAGTTTAATGGAATTTTACAAAGTTGGTTTAATCCATTGGACAGAGCATAGAGGAGAAGTGAGAAATTATTACATCAATTGCCCAAAGCTAAGTAAGGAAAAGAGGCCCAAAGGTAGATATGAATTGGGAGGTTTATATAAAAGACCTAGGATAAGAAAGATAGGGGAGATAGGTAGGGAAAAAATACTTTTGAGTGAGAGGAGGGTCATGAATCTTGCTAATTCAAACAGGATTGCTTATTTACTCAGTGTGTTTTGGAAGCTGTAAAAACCAAAATTAGGCATAGAGGTCCCTGGAACTTTTCTGAGACTCATATCTGGCCATACTTTCAGTATATTGCCACCTATAGGACATGTGTCCAGGCCCTACCTTGATAAGAACATGTTACTTGGATAGCATAATGGGTTACTACACCCATGTCCAACCCAAAGTCCATTAAAAGACTATTATTCAAATTTTATAATAGATCTATACTGTTCCAGAATGGGAACACATTCTGGTGGTGATGGAAACTTTCATTGCCTGCACTTCATCACGAAACTTCCCAACATTTAATTATAATTTGTAGACAGATTCCTCTCTTCAAAGTTTACATGCAGACTCACATAGTCTATACATTGTCCATAGAAAATGGCGAAAGCAGACAGATGTTGATCTTTTCATCTTATTTAGCCAGAATAACTACACTACCTACAATAACTCCTTTCACTTTCGTTACTTCCATATATCATCGAGCAATACCACAATGCTGGCTTCTGATTCACATCTGGAAATCTATGAGTTTCCCAAGAAGATTTAAAGAATCGATCCCAATAAGCTAGAGAAAAATACAATGCAATAAGCAGAAAGGAAGGTTATCTTTTAGAGATCTTATCTGGCTCTCCTTCCGATACATCCAATATATTTGTCTCTGCCAAAATTCCATGACTACTTCCTAGACTATTCAAGGTCAAGGAAAGCATGAATCCTGTTATTTTCTGCCTTAAATTATCCTTATATGTGCAAAGCTACATTACTTTATATCACTTTCTATAAAACTCAGTTGGTCACATCTCCTTCATTTCCACATCTTAGAGCTACATTACTTTATATCACTTTCTATAAAACTCGGTCACATCTCCTTCATTTCCACATCTTGGACCTAAAAGACTAAGGACTACAATTAAACACTGATGAAGCTCTTTAGAGACTGGTATTATTTTGCTGTGCCATCCTCTAATGCTCTCCATGCTATCATCTTTCTTCTGATCATGCCTCCTTATTCATTTTGGCACCTGGCTCACAATCTCCCTTTTAGTCAAAATTATGCCATTGTCCTACATTTTAGGACCTAGCTGATTACAATATGCTTGTGGATGATTTGTCCAATAACTTGGTCTGTTACTGAATATCTTCACCATTACAAAACTTCCCAACACTCTCTAATTGTCATTTTTGTAGCCAGACTCTGGATCTTGTTATCCTCTAAAACCTCTGAACTCACAAAATCACATATTGCACTCACTATCTGTCAACTCCTGTCCTCCCAGGTTGCTTGCTCATTTACTTGTTCATTAATTTCATGGGTACTGCAAGTTTATTTTATCTCTTAAGTTCTCCTTCTCCATCCTTTTGTCTCTTCTCTATCCAACTTAGGTCTTTGCATGTTCTCATATTTGCATATTCAGCAAAAACCCTGAAACTCCCTTGCACTATTATCCTTTATATCCATATGAAGGAAACATGAAGGCAGCTTAACTGTCTGTGTGCTCCATGTCTGTCCCAAGGCTGCTTGGTACTGCTGGAGAAAAATCATTCAAGTAGATAGAGAATCTTTCTATATTTCCCTAGTAAACTTCCTCTTTCATTTTACATATTACTTCAAACCTTCCCAATCCTTAAAATTCTAGCTTCACTGCCTTCCCCTTTATTGTCAGAACATGATCTGTCTTAATTCACAGAGAAACATAATAGCCTTTAGATTGGAACTTGAGAAATTTTTTGTCACTAAATATGACAAATATACCTATTCCCTCTTTCTTTCTTTTCTAATACAGCTAAAGAACTGCTTCTCTTTCCTCCTAAGGCTAATCTCTTTTATACACTTCCACCTTCTTAGGACATTTATCTTTACACATACGCAATCTTTATTCTTTATAAAGAATTGTTTTTATTCTATTTTAGATCATTTGTGTCAATATTTAAATATACTCACATCATTCCCATTTAAGACCTCTTTCTTTCTTTTCTAATACAGCTAAAGAACTGCTTCTCTTTCCTCCTAAGGCTAATCTCTTTTATACACTTCCACCTTCTCAGGACATTTATCTTTACACATATGCTATCTTTATTCTTTATAAAGAATTGTTTTTATTCTATTTTAGATCATTTGTGTCAATATTTAAATATACTCATACCATTCCCATTTAAGATAAGTAAGTAAACAAACAAACAAACAAACAAACAAATAAAGACAACATCAAACAGTTCTTGATTCATTCCAGCCTTGCACCAATTTCCTCTGCTCCACAGAAATGGCTCTTCCTGTGTTTATCAATGAACTTCTTTTTAAATCTGATATTTTTAAGTTCTTATTTTGCTTAACTGCTTAGAATTTGAAATTTTAGACTACATCTTCCTTCTGAAAACATTCTTTCCCCCGTGCCTCCAATGATACCATTTGCTCCTTGTTTTTTTCTCCTGTCTGGACACTCTTCTTAGGTACCTCCTTCTCATTTTATCTTCCTCTAACTGCCTTTAAATGTTGGCTGATATTTCAGAGGCCTTCTTCTCGTCTCGCTCTGTACTCTCTCACAGACAATGCCATCTACTCCCATGATTTCAATTACCATATGTATCCTGGCACTCCAAATATTCGTTCTATGCCATGTCTCACTCATGAGCTTCTGATCCATATAACCACTTGCTTACTAAATATCTCAAAGTGAATATCTGACTGCCAACTCAAATTCATTATGTCTAAAATGGAACTCAGCATCTTCCCTCCCCCAAGGCTCAGTGTTCTGCATTGCAGTTAATGGCAATATTTTCACATCTGCGTCATAAGTCTGAGAATCTTTCTTGACGATTTCCTGTCTCTCATTACTTAATACAAATGCTGTTATTTACACCTGTTATTTCAAAATAGCCTCTTCATAACTTCTGCACATTATTGTCCTGGGTCATTACTCTTTCTTTTTGTTTTTAATGAATTTTTTTTTTTTTGTAAATTAAGATGACTAGCTCTGCCATATATTCCACAAATATATATTTTCAGTATATTATTTTTTTCTTTGGCTTTATCTATGATATTTCTTTAGGCATAAATTAGTTTTAAATTTTTATATAGTCAAATGTATACATAATCTCTGGATTTTTATCTTCTGCTTAGTAAGTCCCCAGGCTGTTCACCAACATCTCTGTATTTTGGCTTGACCCAAACAGCAACTCTGTTTTCTCAGCATTGCGCAGTTTCTGAAATCTCTGTGCAACTGTTCCTATCTAATCCTTACAGAATCTTGCCTTGATATGGTAGTTTAAGAGTTGGCCAAGGACTCACAGAAAATTTTTGCATATGCTTTTTGGGGTCCTTCTTTGCAGCCCTCTCCTCTTTGGGATCTGGTCCTAAATACCAGACACCTTAACATCAATAAACACTGATATTTCCTTTTCCCAATATTTTATCTTAAAAGATATATTTTGTGCATGTAAAAAATACAGAGTGAATTTACCTTGGTACCTTTGAATTTTCTATCATGAATACATTCAGTGTTAAATATATATTTTAAGTGAACTAAAATTATAATCAACAGAGAGCAACAATAAAGAGGCTGTATCATATGAGATCTTAAGGTCCAGCAAAAATTATAATTGGAGGAAAATATATAACTGTAATTATCTTCAATATTTAATAGGATTAAAGATAAAGGAATGCTGTATATCTTAAGAAAAACAGAACAAGTAACAGCTCCTCTCTGTAAAAAATACTTGGAAGATTGAATGTCTCAAAATAATGAAATAGAAAACAAAGAAATGAGAAAAGGTTAATAAATCCACAAATCTTTTGTTTTGAAAGATCAATAAAATAGATTAAACCCTTATGAGCCCTATTAAACAAGAATGAAAGAAAAATATTCACTATTAAGAATCTCTCTGTTTTCTCTTCTTATAATTCTCTCCTCCTGGCTTTTTCCAGATAGAACTTGCTCTTTCAATTCTCCCCTCAACCCTTATATGTTCTAATATATTCTAACATTCTCTATTTATTAATGGCTTTCTTTAGCTTATAAAAATGCATTAACAACCAAAGATAAAAACTTGCTTTCATTCAACTTCACACATCTACCCCATTCCTTCTCTTCATTGTCAAACATTTATATAGAGTATTTTAAATTGGAATTATTTTTTCCATCTGCAAGATATGAGCCATTAATAGTTTGTGAAATCAGATTTAGTGCTTCATAACCAACATTTTAACATACAAGATAGATTAGAATATTGTACTTAACTATGAATAAAGTGTTGTTTGGCATAACATGTTTTTATTT